TAGAAAAGGTCGGCCCTAAAAATGTCACACCTCCCCTACCTCACGGATTTCCGTTTCCGGCGGTGAGGGTGCCCAACTAAGGGCCTTTAAGAACGGAGCTAATACTCAAAAAACCTTTCATCAAAAGGCCGTGCGTGACCGGCCTCAAGCAGTTGTCCCTTGGACTCAGCGGTCACGCACCAACACTAATCCATCTTCCTTTTCAGGTTCGTCGTCATTTCAAATCCCACAGTGGTAGAGATAGTAGAAGTTTTAACAGTAATAGAGATTAGGTTTCGAGGATATTATTCAAGAAGTATAATTCAGTGAGATAACTTTAAAAAGATGAGATGATGAGGAATCCAGACACCTGAAAAACGTCTTTTGACCTGGCGACCCCCGAAGTCGTCTCAACGTTGGACGCGACTAGATCATATCGCAATCAGCCACCGATGGAGGGGTTCGATAGAGGACTGCCGCTCGTTTTGGGGAACATGGTTAGATTCAGATCATGCTCTAGTGCGAGCTGGTATTTGTTTGAGGCTTACTGGACGTAGGAAAGACAACGCAAGGAAGCCTCTTACGGCTTTAAGTCCTCCCAGTCTACCTGAAGTTGAGAAAGCTATAGGAAATCTAAAGCGAGGAAGAGCAGCAGGTCCTGATAAGCTTACCCCTGAGATGTTTAATGATGGTCTAGTTTTGAAAGTTAGACTGACCGAGATCCTAGGTAGAATCTGGAAACTGGACGTAATCCCATCCTACTGGTCTCAATCCTTCATTGTCCCAATCTATAATAAAGAAAAAAGTCCTCTTGTGACAATCACAGGTGAATCAGTCTAACAAATATAATGTCTAAATTGTTAGCCTCGATTATACTTAGACGTCTAACTAGAGCTCGTGAAGAGCAGACTAGAGAAAACCAGGCTGGTTTCAGACCCGGACGTGGCGGTATAGACCACATTTTCACACTACGACAGGTCTTGGAACACAGACACACATTTAGACGTCCGACGTTAGTCGTGTTCCTGGACCTTAGGGCGGCATTTGACTCAGTGGATCGTGAGGTTCTGTGGCAGTGTCTGTCATTGAAATGTGTACCAAAGAAGTACATTAACCTTATACAAGCTCCTTACTCGAACACTACTGGTCGATGACATAGTTCTGTTTGGTGAAGACGCTGACAAAACGCAGAGTCTTCTGACTACCATAAGCAACAATGCGAGCATAATAGGGATGCGGTTCTCCCCCTCGAAATGCAAAATGTTGCTTCAAGATTGGGTTGCATCGGCACCTGAACTAGTGATAGGGAGTGAAGTAGTCGAGCGTGTTGATCACTTCACTTATCTGGGGAGTCTCATCAGCGCTGATAGCCTGGTGACTGACGAAATCTCAGCGCGGATACAGAAAGCCCGATTGACTTTTGCCAACCTGCGTCACTTATGGCGTAGGCGTGATATCCGTTCGCTAACCAAAGGACGGGTGTACTGCGCAGCAGTTCGCTCCGTTCTCCTATATGGATGTGAAACATGGCCGTTAAGAGTAGAAGATGTTCGTAGGTTACTAGTTTTCGATCATCGATGTCTCCGAAGCATTGCTCGTGTATCATGGGACAACCGAGTGAGCGATGCTGTCGTTAGGAAACGAGTACTAGATAAGGATGGAAAATCAATAGATGAGGTAGTGAAACTTCATCAGTTGAGGTGGTTGGGACATGTGTTACGTATGGCCAACCACCGACTGCCTTGTCGAGCTGTTTTCCGATGTAGTTATAGGTTGGAAGAAAGCTAGGGGCGGCCACACCAAAACATGGCACAAATCCATGAAATCATTTACTACTGGACCGAGTCATGTTGGTAGATGTAGGCTACCAGGTTGGGGTCCGCGAGACGAAAGTCACCAATGGTTAGAGACCTTGAACGACATGACTCAAAATCGTTTGCAATGGCGCAAGTGCATCCATTCTTTGAGCTCTCTCAAATCCTAATCTTCTGGATTCGTCAGCACCTCTACCTTTGTCTTTCTAACCTTATCTCACTGAATTATACTTCTTGAATAATATCTTCAAACCCTAGTCTTCTTCATTACCATTAATACCTCTACTATCTTTATCACTATGGGATTTGATTTGACATTTGCGTCTCTGTGATAATGTGGTATGGCAACATGAACTTATGTACATACGTACGAAGTTCCTACGTTGCAACTGACTGACTGACCGACCTCTTTCTGAACGTCTGAATCAACTCATAAATAATGATATATGTGTGCTGTTGAGCCAGATGTAATAAGTTAACCAGGATTAGTGAATAAAACAGACTGAGATCAGAAGAATATCGCTTTCTGGAACAAATTCAGAACATATAAATCATAACTGATTAACCATGTGAACGCCAATTTTAGGCTGTAATTCAAAGAACTACTTCTTAACCACTAAAAATTTAGCCTGAAAATTAAACATGGTACATCTTCATAAGGGATCTTTGCAAACAAATGATTCGTTTTAACAGTATATTTGTCTGTTTCACCGGAAACAAAGCTTCGCCGAAACTTAGATCGAGTATTTTCTGGGCAACTTACTTTGCTTTGTAACAATAGGATTACACCAGACTATCATCAGAAATCATTCTATACGCTCAACCTAACTTGGAAGACCGCTGGTTGTTGAATCCTCGGGGAAGGTTCGTGAAAATCAGTAAATGCGGAAGTGTGAAAAATGTCAGGATTCCATGGCACAGTCGTGAGGACATGATCATTATATATTCATGTTTATTCCCTGTAACAAATATATTATTCATTCTGTAAGTCTGTTTTTGTTCTCCAAAGGCTCATGTAAACCATGTATCTAACTCCATGATATGATGGTTCATTACGAATAATAAATATTCTTCAGCTTAATCAGTCGTTTCAGTAAAGTCAAAATGCTGAACTTTTTAAATCTTTTTATAAGCATATACAAATTTACTGACAGAGATTTTAGACCGAAATTCTATAAATTTCCTTTGATACAGTCCTAAAGTTAGGTTAGCGATTTTTTAATTTCAAGCTCATGTTCCTAGGAACAACTAGTTCCACTTTTTCGCCCAATCGGGTTAAATACATGGTAGCCTATTCGACTCCAAGTATTAAATATTTATCCTAATCACATCCCAAAATATCACAACCACTTCGATTTTACCGGTTAAGATAACGATCATGACAAAAGCGGCTTTGTATGGAGAGTGAATAGCATACTTATGTTTTAGGTGTTCGTCTGTACGACCATAGGTTGCAATAATAGTTAATGTATGTGGCGTGAAAACTTTACATAGCTTGAATCCTGGACCGTTGAAACTGTTTTCATTGCTTTGTTATGATTCTATTTATAAGCCAACTTATACATCATGTCTTCTTAGCTTTGTAGTGGAATGCTTCTACGAAGAAAATGCAATTTTTGAAATGTAATCATTATTGTACTCGCTTTGTTTAACTGCACCAAAAACACTTCTACTACTTCTTGCGCGCAACGTTCTCTTCGCGTTGCCGCCATGTTTCCCTATTTGCTGCTCCCTATGTAATGCCAACGTTCTCCTTCAATAAAACCATGGAGTATTGATTTATTTTGTTCTGCTTTTCGTCACGCGACCGTGTGGAACATTTAGTGGTGAGCATAGTCAATCAGGTATCTGGATTCGCTCACTAAAGCTTAATAGCAAATTATTCAAAATGGAGCTGCTGAAAAGATCCCAAAAACATCAAGAGTTTCTATTTCTTTGATGATGCGTGTTTTTAGTGGTTTAAGTTTTTTCGGGTTAGCGTTTTTTAGTGAGTCAGATTTCCACTGGATGAGATCACTACCACCACACACAACCCTCCTCCTTTCCTAGGGTTTTGGACTGGCACTAGCCCTACAGGATCTCCTGGAGTAGTTAAGATGCGTCTGGTAAGCTTGAAGATAGTATTCTAAGTGAAATTTTAACCTAGAAACAATCAAAAGTGAAAGACATTGCAGTGAGGTGTTCCAACAATCAGTAGCAGCAAGTTTACTGATCAACAGAAATATAGCAGTTTGCTCAAAGTGGGAGGGAATTAACACTTATACCTCTTTCCACGGGTGATCTGATAGTGACGTAAAACATAATAAGCACGCCAAATCATCCCATCATGAGCACCTTACCGATGCATCACCACCACGCAACTTGTGGTAATCCTCGAAATATTGCTCACCAACACAAGTTCATGCACACTTCTCTCCATCAATAGTCGTTACAACTTAGAATGTTCTCTCAGTCAAGGTGACCACAGCTCCCTCAGTGGACAGATTTAAGAAGAAACTTGATACACACGTACTCACATACGGATCACAATCCCCCTCGTGGACAAGTTGTCTGATGCATGTCTTGAGACCTACTCGTTGTTATTATTGCCATTTCCTCAGATCACTAACCTAATATATCTCGCTTATTATCCCTGTCTCCTCTCCGTTGTTACACTTCGGTCCTCCTGCATAATCTTCACTACTGATTAATCAACTAAATTATCCATTTATTACTCAGTTCTAAAGGCTCATTAGCACTAGAATTTTATGATTGTTATTCACCTTGCATCTGATGGATTTACGGTCTGTTAATGTGATAACTGCTAGTATCCGGAAACCCTACTGCCATGAAACAAACGTATTCGTTCAAACCACGAAACATACCAACTCACAACCAACTGCCAACTGACTAGAATAAGTTCAGTCGAGTGGCTACTCTTTCATCCACTGGAGACTAACGAATACCTGAAACCGTACAGAAAAGACAAGAATGAAGTAAAAAGAAATCAATTGGTCTGTATGAGCTCGTGAAAAAGTTGTTGCATACCGGAAATACCTGGAACCGTACAAAAAGAACAAAAATGGAAATCAAAGAAATTGGTTGGTCTATACTATCTCTTAAGGAAGATATTGGATTAAATTAACAAGAACACCTTTCTACTACCAGTGCCTATATCCTGGAAAGCAACGACTTTGCTAGATTGCGCATCAAGGTTTGAATATTTACTTTGAGGGTAGTTCGAAATAAAAGTTTGGGAGCGGATTTCAAGGTGATTTAAAGGATGAGTGTCGGTAGGCTTGTAGAAGTTAAAAGCAAGGTAATTTGATTTATAACAAGAATAATTAACATTAAAGTTTGATGCAGAGTTCCGACGCTTCAGTTTCTTGATAGAGGATTCACTACAGTATAACGCTTTCTATTCCTTACTTGAACGTATTCACATGTTGTTCAACATCCCCTTTGTTATTCAGTATGTCGAGCCCAAAAACGCTGATTTACTACCAATAAGTAATAACAAGAATTTTGAGTTGGCTGTAAATTCTTCAAAGTCCTTACTTAGAATTCTACTTCAGCGGAAAGGTGAGTTTATTATCGTAATATCATTTTTGCATAGGTGAAAGCTATGGAGAGATTTATGGATACAAAGCTTCTAAACATGGTCTTATACATCGAGGAGCAGCTAACACTCTACGAAACTTCGGTGGAAGTGGAAAAAATCGTCGATCTGAAAAACCTTACATCAGTGTCATGAGTGACTTCCACTTAGTCTCGTCAATACTGGATGTTGACATTATACCATGGACTCTAAGACGGTAAGCATTCATTCGTCTTAGGACATTCCGTAACGTCGCCCCTAACCTTTGTGTAAGTCCGCCTAATCACCTAAAGTTGGCAGGTTTAAGTTTCCAAAGCGCATCTTTTCTGTACACGTCAAGGTTCTTGATTTCTATTCTTATTTTTTGGCATTCGAATTGTTGAAAGTACTTAGTAACAGACATTAGGCAGTTTGCGCATTTCCAAACACAGACCTTTAGCCGCATACATAAAACTTAGCCTGATTTATCATACCTCATTAGCAGTGGCGCAGGTGCATTCATTCTTTGTGTTCTCTCAAATCTTAACCTGAATTCCTCATCACCTTTATCATTCTTTTTTTTAAGTTAACTTCACTAGATTATACTTCTTGAATGATATCTCCTAACCCTAATCCCCATGATTACCGCTAACACTTCTACTACATCTACCACTATGGAATCTGAATTGACAATTCAATCTCTGTGTGCTAATGTTGTAACGTTAAAACTGACTGACTTTATTGACTGATGCCAAGTCTTCCTTCGCTCTTTTCTAGATTTCTTTCAACTCACTTCTATCTCAGCTAAAATTTTACATCGAACTATTCGATATATGTCCAAATTACTATTGTTAAATATACAAAGCTTCTCACGTAGTCATAATGTATCATACACCTGCAGATTGGAGTAACATATTCCTCATTTATTGACACTTGCTAGAGTACAGTCGCTGTCAGTGTAGTATGAAAGTCAAAGTTTTAATTTCAGAATTCCAACTAAAACAAATGTATTGCTTTATCGTTTTGTTAGCGAAATTTGTTGCTTGTGCTATTTACTCAATTGTTATTTCTATGTATTGCATTGATTAAAGTTTCAAGAAATACCATGTCACCATATAGCTTTGGATGGCTGAAGGTATTACACATCAACTAATTCTCACAGTAAACATAGTCCACTAGGCCTATAAACCAATCTTTAAGTTGTGAAACTCCTATGGCTCATGGAGTTTGCAACACGTTATGTATGATCATAACACGGTTTCGAGATGCTATGTTTGTCATCGTAGTATTAGGTTAGTGAAAAATGTCCCAGTGAATCCAGAACAGGTCATAAACTAGTGTGAATTGAGGTAGTGGGTAGAAAACACTGTACGTAGGTTCTATGCTAGTTGTCATTCGTCAGCAATCACTATTTTTGATTTTGAGAGAACTGATGCTCCATGTATGATTTGGACTCTACTCAACTCAGTGTAGTATATTATCACTTAGCTAACGAGAATTCGGCTAATCTATAGGGAGGAAATATTTTAAATGGATTGATCATTATGTAGTGACTGATCTGGTATCTGTCCAATTGATTAGTGTTCACCGAGTTCTATCGATCAAGCCTCAAAATGGCTACCAGTGTAAGTGACTTGGTATCACTTGTTTCAAGGTGGTCAGCAGGAATTCTTCATTGATGTAGGTTTCATGTTAACAGCCTGTACCCATTAGTATCAGTCCCTTCAAGATTCCCAGGTATGCCTAGTCTATAAAGTCAATTGATCTTAATCTGATGGACATTGGGAATAGCCAGTCACACACTTTATGACTAGGGTCTGTCTATTAACTGTTGTTGAAATTGATATAGGTTACATAGTTTAAGGTCAATTATCAGTTGCATGAATGTACCTATTTCTTGTTACTTTGTCAGTTTGGAAAATTCTAATCACTGCTTTCCATTCTATGTATTTACTAGTATTTTTCTTATTTATTTCTATCCTTTTAATAATCTTAAAATTTAGATTATATTGTAAAATCCTCGCTTATGATTGTCGAACCGGATAGAGTAGCCAAAACATTGTTCGTATTACGTTTGTTAATTTAATAGTTTTCATGTTTGTTGAACTGCTCTTGTTATACTAATCTGAAGTATAACAATTCCAATCTTTTTACACAACATACGATCCAAAATGTTCTTCGAGTATTAATTTAAGTGTCCTTTTAACTTTAAGCCTTATTCTATTTCTGTTACGAGAATTAATGATGAGGCAATGTTCAATTTTTTGTTGACTCATTGATTAGAAAGTTTGAATTTTGACAATTAATTTACACGTCCAAACCTTACCCCAGTTATTTTGGTTTAGCAGTTAAAGTGTGGTTCGTAGTCAAGTACACGAATATGTGTTGTACTTATTTAACAGACTAGTTGTAAAACAGTTCAAACCTGTGATTTATTGCGTGAACGGTTAATACCTTGATTACTTAGTGTTAACAGGAAATAGATGAGATCGAAGCATCTTCCATGCAGGATTATATGTGAGTACTTTCTTAGCTCACCGACACTAATGGATAAATGGATAAGGTTCACGAATATTTTGATATAAAAGGTTATCATAAATATTCTAACGTTTTTATGATTATAATTCCTTCATATTCAGTCAGTCAGTTAGCAACAAAGTAGAACTTCGTACGTACGTACATTAGTCCAAGTTACCATATCACAGAGATTGAACTGTCAATTCGAATGCCATAGTGATAGAGGTAGTAGAAATTTGAGCAGTAATCGGAAAAAACAGGGTTTGAAGATATTACTTATGAAGTCTAATCCAGTGAGATAAACTTAAAAGTAGAAAGATAAAGGTGACTGTTATAATGCTGCTACGTATAGCTATTCAGTCCTAGCGGCGTCCAATTCAAATATCCCAATACGACCCAAAATGCTATTTCCAAATCTCCTATACATCAGAACGCAACACCGTGGGACGGAGTTGTTTATTGGGTTGAGTACAGAAGAGAGGTAGGCAGGAAGAAACGGAATCGGAATCATGAAGTCTTACAGATAGTGCGTATTTATACATTTAGGTCGAATAGGAAAGAGCATCAAAGTCTGTGACATTGACAGTTTAGGACGACCATTAGGAAAGAACATTTGAAATGACATTGACAGTCCGGATGATCAATAAGAGACAACATTGAAGTATTTGACTTTGACAGTTAAAACGATCATAATTTTGACCAATAGAAATCGACCAATAGGATTATACTTCCAAAAATAGTACTCTTAGGATATTCGGTGAATATCCTAACAGTGACGAGGAATTCAGAAGACTAGAATTTAAGATAAGATAAAGAGTAGATGCACCTGTGCCATTGCAAACGATTTTGAGCCATGTCATTCAAGGTCTCTAACCATCGGTTAATATTGTCTCGCGTGCCCCACACAACCAGGTAGTCTTCACATACTGACATGGCTCAGTCCAGTTGTCAGTAGTGACTCCATGGATTTGTGCCATGTTTTGGTATGACCTCTATCTTTTTTCCAACCTTCTATACCACCATTCCTTCACATTCAGTTTGGTGTGTTAGCAAATAATTAACTACCTGTTCAAGTGATGTTCCGATCTTCGTTGTACGCACACACACACACACACACACACACGCATTTACCTAAGCGCTTATGCCATCCATCTAATTAATTAGTTTTACTATGATTCTTTCTATTTTTTTATTTGTATTTTAGTGTAAGCCTAATTCGTTCACCTGGTAAACAATTCGGTTTAAATATTCGTACTGGTGCAATTCAATATTACACAAAAAATGGTTATGAAACAATACCGGCATTTTTTATATCACGTTTAACAGAAGATGGTATTGCTTATAATACTGGTTTATTAGCTGTGAATGATGAAATTATCGAAGTGAACGGAATTGAAGTGTATGGTAAATCATTAGATCAAGTCAATGATATGATGGTAGCGAATAGTTCCAATTTAATTATTACTATTCGACCAGCGGATCAAAGTATGTGTCTAGTTCCTAGAGAGATATCACGTTCGAAATTTTCACAAAGTACCGATTTATTATATGGTCCACGAAAAAATATCTCATCATCGTCCACTGGACTTTATTCACCGTCATCATCTCAACCGACACAGTATAATCCATCCTCATCTCATCATCCATTAGCTATGACAAATACTATTTCATCTGTTAGCAATTACAATCCATTATTACCTCGATCTAGTGTAGTGAATGGTGATTCAGCCGCAACAACAGCAACAGCAACAACAATTCAAGTAAACGAAGAAATTGCAAGTGATGATGATGATGACATGAATGTTGGTCTGATTACAATATAAATGAAATTAGCAGCCTCTTCTTCCTTCCTCTGGTTTTTATACACACACACACACACACACCATCAGCTCATATCATTTTCATCAAGAATAAGCTGTTGAATTTTTTTCTTTCTCTTTCTTTTTCATTTTCTATCCACTTGGTGGCGTTTTTTGTTTGTCACTTTTAAGCACAAAAAAAAGCGGGAAACAATAAATCAAGCAACAATCACAAATTCTTGTTTTTGCGCTTCATTTTTTTGATAATTTGTCTACTGAAATTGTTATAATAACCGAGAAAATTGAATTTTGTTTGAAGTAGTATCATGTGTGTCACATTGAAACATATCATCATCATCAGCATCATTATAGATACATGTAGATAATTTGAAATACAACTTGTGATCAATTGTTTTCATTCTTCTTTTTTTTCGGATATATATTGATAAAGTTTTATTATTTTTCTCGCCTTTTTTCTCTGTTTCTTCCATGATATTTTCACGAAAAATTAACTCTTTCTCATCGGTGGCAGTTGTATGTATGTATTTACTAGTTTGTTTGTTTCGTTTGTTTCCCGCCTTTTTTTCTCTCTCATTCTTTTTGTTTTGCTGTACAAACATGTACGTGCGCGCACACACGCAGGTACATGCAAACAACTATATATATATATAACACCAATTGAACTGGCTACAACACATTCACTATCTTCTTATTTTGTGTTCAATGTACCAATGGTTATTGATTTATTTATGTATTTTCTAGTTTTTATAAACATCACACACACACGCGCGCGCATTCCTTTCCGGTTTCAATCATATCAGCGGTATCTTTGAATTTGGCCACTTTTTTTTATGCTCAATTGTTTTGTCTTGTCTTTTATTTCGTTTTTCTGCATTATATATATATGTATTGTTGACATATGTATTATTTTTTTTTAAAAAAAAATTATTTTATTCTAAGGATTAACTTTTCCATTTTGGGAATTTTTCTATGATAAATAGATGATATACTTAAACATACATATCATTAGTAATAAATATTGCTCAATTTTATTTATTTATTATTACTCTATTCTAACTTACAAATTGTTGACTGCACACTTATCAATCATGATTTCATCTATTGCTTTATGTCATTTCAATGTTTCTCGTTTCTTTTCTTTTTTTTTTCGGTTTTTGTTTTAAACAAAACAATAAGGCTTGGTAAATTTTCTTAATTACACTTGTATCTTCAATTTGTATACACTGAGTTGTTGTTTTTCTTTCTTAAGAATAAACAAAATGATTAAATAATGTGTGGGGTACTTTTGGTGAAAATTATTCACTTTTGTATTAGTAGTTCAAGGGAAGATTAGATAAGTTCATTCGTCTTAGTATTTCATTTCGCATGTCAATCAGTCAGTCAGTTAGCTACAATGTAGAGAACTTCGTACGTACACACATCAATTCAAGTTGCCATACCACATTAGCACAGAGATCAAATAGTCAATTCAGATCCCATAGTGGTAATGTAGTGGAAGTGTTAGTCGTAGTAGCAGAGATTAGGGTACGACGAAGAGTATAGTCCAGTGAAATAAATTGAAAAAGAGAAAAGTGAAAGTCATGAGGAATACACAGGATTAGAATTGAAGAGAAAACAAGAGATGAATTCATCTACGCCACTGTGAGCGATTTTGATCCATGTCATTTAAGGTCTATAACCATCGGTTAGTATTGTTTCGCGTACCCCACACAACCAGGTTGTCTACATCTACTGACGTGGCTCAGTCCACTTGTCAGTAGTGGCTTCATGGATTTGTGCCATGTCTTTGTCTGACTGCTCCTGGCTCTCTTCCAACCTACCGCTACATCGGACAACATCGCCTGTCGAGGCAGTCGGTGTTTGAGCATGCTTAACACATGTCTTAACCACCTCAACTGACGAAGATTCTCTACTTCATCAACTGATTTGCTATCGTTATCTAGTATCCGTTTCCTAACAATAGCACTGCTTACTCGGTTGTCCCAGGATACATGAGCGATGCTTCTACAACATCTATAATGGTATTCTAGTAAGCCACGAACATCCCCTATTCTCAGTGGCCATGATTCATCCGTAAAATAGGATGGAGCGAATCGCTGTGCAGTAAACCCATCCTTTAGTTAGTAGGCCGATATCTCGCCTAATCCATAAGTTGGAAAAATTCTTTCAAACCTTTCGTATCCGTTTCGAGACTCTGTCACATACCAGTCCATGAGGACTGATGGGACCCCAAAGATAGTTCAAACAGTCAACACGCCTAACTACATCCATCCCTATCACTAGTTCAAGTGCCGATGCAAGCTAATCCTGAAGCAAAATAAATACAATTACTTTCGGAATAATAAAATAAAAAATTTCTTCCCTGAATTCCACTGTTAACCCACTTTATAACTTTACTAAATATTCAAACGATGAAACTGTTGAATAAGATCCATGTGAAGTCTACACCTAACTGAATAATTTTAATTGGTTACATATCAATTATTCATAATTTAATCTATTATCTGAATCAGTTAGCATACGCTACATATAATCATACTTAATCTATTTCAGTTTATTATTTCGACTGTTATTATAGAAGCAAGTTGGGAAAAGTAGTTTAGACTTTCTGGCATAATTACTGAACTGTTAGGATATTCATCGAATATCCTAAGAGAATTATTGGTCAAATCCTATTGTTCGATTTCTGTTTGTCAAAATTATGGTCGTTTTAACTGTCAAAGTCAAATACTTCAATGTTGTCTCTTATTGGTTATCATTATCTGTAACATTTTGGGACCACGACCAGGACCAGGGCTCGGTCCCGGATCCCTAGTCCGGGATCCTGATTCTCTTCTGGATTCGGACCTCCTACTTTCTGGATGCCTGCAGAATACATATTCTACATCATATCACGTCTTCTTATTTTTACTAAATATGGGGGTCGGGATACCCGGATTTGAGTAGCATGTCGTATCACCGGCTACTCGAGCCTCGCTCTCGTTTTCCGACTAGGTAAACTCGTAATAGTTCAAGTAAATCAAGTTGACGTTTCAACGTGCAGTGTGATATATATATACCTATATATATACTGATATAGTGATATATATATATATATATATATATATATATATATATTGAGAGAAGTGATTTACTATACTAAAGCCATTTGACTTTCAACTATATTTGGCTATTAATCCGAACCCCGATTCAATTTAGACAATTTGGTTAACATTTTTTTGATTTGACGTAAAAAGAAGTACTGTAAAGCTAAAATTGAATACACAAACTTGTGTATGTGTTTGATCAGACTTATACTTAAATGTGAAATACGTTGGCCATATACTTTGTGTCCACTTTTATTTCTAACATTCAAACATTTAATAGTTTGAAGAATTTTTGAAGGTTACTACATTCTTCAAATTACATAACAAACTGATACTAAGTAAGATAACTTTCGGAAACCTACTAGACATTGGTTAACTGGTTTTATTCTAGTTTATAATTGCTTAGCATTTATTTCTAAAAAGAATTTATTGTAATTGTTGCTTGTAAATATTTTATTTGTCTTCATATAAGTTGATATTATATCATTTCAAACAGTTAATAACATATGCCTGTTACTCTTGATGGAGTATAGGCCGCCGACCAGCAATCTTCAACCAACTACTCTACTCTTAACTATCCTTTCCAGTTCAACCTAATCCTTATTCATTCTGTTCATGTCTATCGCCGATTATAAGCGCATTGTGTTCGCACGCCTTCCGTTTTTCATTTGGTCTTGAGGGTTCATTCCTAGTTAGGGTTTGCCTACTGAAGCAGTTGGGTGATTTCATCAATAAGTGTCCTATCTACTTCTAGTGCCCTTTCCTAATTTCTTCTTTAGTTAGAATCTGGTTTGTTCTGTCATAGTAGGTTATTACTGATGGTATCTAGTTAACGGATGAGGAGTACTTTGCGTAGACAACTGTTAATAAATAGCTGTATCTTTTGGACGATAACTTTCTCGGCTTTCCAGGTTTTCGCCTCGTACAACAGAAACTGTCTCGACATTTGTATTGGAAGTTCTGACTTTGGTGTTGGTTGATAGTTATTTAGAGTTCCGGATGTTCTGCAGTTGTAGAAATTCTGTCCTTGCTTTACCGATCTGTGCCTTCACATGTGCATCAGATTCACCTTGTTCATCTATGATGCTGTCCAGATTTTTAAAGGTTTCCACATCTTCCAAAGCTTCTCCGTCAAGTATGATTTGGTTAGTGCGTGCTGTGATGTATCGGAGGATCTTGGCTTTTCCTTTGCGTATGTTGAGACCCACTGTTGCAGATGCTGCTGATGCTACACTACCCGTCTTCTCCTGCATTTGTTATTGTATATGGATTAGAAGAGCTAGATCATTATCTGGCTTCATCCGAGCTATCCACTCTATTCTGTGCTTCCCTTGACATGTTGACGTCTTCAGAATCCGGTCAACCACCAGAAGAAATAGAAAAGCTGGGAATAAACAATCAAGTCTGACAACTGTATGAAACATTGAAATAGTATCAAAAACAAAATAGGCAATATTTACGTTTCATTATTGATTATTTTCTCTTGAAATGAAAGTGATCATTTAACATGACAAACCAAATGTTTTTTTTCTTTAGAATTCAATTTCATTAAAATTACACAATTCTTATATATGTACATTAGATACCTACACACATAAGTTAAGTCAGTAATGTTTAAACTGACCTGAATTGATCATTGAAATATCACAACGAATATGATAACTAACTAACTAGCTGACTAAATAGTTAGTTAGTTAACTAACTAACTAACTCACAATAAAGAAGTATCATGTTAAATTTATTGATTTTTCTCGCTCAAGAATTCATTTACTATTCAATAAACAATTAAATCAATAGTCGTGTGTTTATCAGTATTATCTTTATGATAAATTTTCCGAAATTCCAGTAAATCTCTATGACCAATGAAGGTCAAATCATGTGGTGTAGGGGATAATCATAACGAATCATTATGAATGTTAATCTTATAATATCGACTAATAACTGGAATTTCAACAATATTAAAGTGAACTGATTTTCAACTCAGTGTTTTTAAAAGAACACTGGTAATTGCGAAATCTTACTTACTTGCTTACGGTTGTTAACCCCTTTGGCAAGCATAGGTCGCCAACCAGCATTCCCAAACATACTTCATCCTCTAGTTGTTGCTCATTCTTCTCATATCTGTTTCCAGTTCTCACCACCATGTGTTATTTGATCTTCCTCTTTTCCTTTAGACTTGATAATTCCAAGTGAGGGCTTGTCTTGTGACGCAGTTAGGTGCTTCCGAAATGTGAATTATATTCACCTCTAAGCACTTCCTAATTTCTTCCTCTGCTGGAATCTGGTTTGTCCTCTCGCACAGTAGGTTGTTGCTGATGGTGTCTAACCGGCGGTTCCGAAGTATTTTCTTTAGACAACTGTTAATAAACACTTGTATCTGATGGATAATGGCTTTCGTCGTTCTCTGAGTTTCCGCCCCATACAGTAAAACTTTCTCCACATTAGTATTGAAAATTGTGACTTTGGTGTTGATTGACAGTTGTCTTGAGTTGAAGATGTTGTTTAATTGTAGAAACTCTGCCCTTGGTTTCCTGATCCGCTTCTTCACATCCGCGTCAGATCCGTCTTGCTGATCAATGAGGCTGTACAGGTATGTAAAGATTTTTAAATCTTCCAAAGCTTCAAGTCATGATCGGTAGGAGGCAACCGTTACGAATCATTATAAATGTTAATCTTACAATATCAAGTATTAACTGAAATTTCAGACATCAAAGTGAAATGATTTTCATTTCAATGTCTTAAAATTTGCAGATCGTTTTTCATATTTTTGATGACTTAGGTAACCATTCCTAATGAGTCTCAAAATAGAATGAAATATTTATTGAATACTCACGGATTTCTAACGATTCACCAAAGCAAGTTTATCGCTGATAACGATTGAACTCTTAAATCATCCTAAAGTGCTCTTTGTATAGGAGATTGTTGTATGGTTGATGAAGAAATTTGTAAACAAATCTTCACCTGTACATTTCTACAGGCTGATCTATGACACTTATCTATCGAGTACTTCTGTTGTTATGATAATAAAGCCTTAAAAGCTTTATGATTTCAACTGCTGGATTAATTTTTAAGGTACTGAAGGAAAATCGACAAATGCACTGAAAAGTTCTTATTCAAATAAGATAAATCATTATTTAATTAAAAGGCGTGTCGAGGAATAATTACAGACACTATGACCTTTGTA